TCTCCTGGGCATATATCCAGAAGGAACCCTATTTCAAAAACACACCTGCACCCCAATGTTCATAGCAGCACTATTTACAATAGCCAAAACATGGAAATAGCCTAAATGTCCATCAACAGGTGACCGGATAAAGAAGATGTGGTATATTTATACAATGGAATGCTACTCAGCCATAAAAACTGACAACATAATGCCATTTGCAGCAACATGGATGCTCCTGGAGAATGTCATTCTAAGTGAAGTAAGCCAGAAAGAGAAAGAAAAATACCATATGAGATCGCTCATATGTGGAATCTAAAAAACAAAAACAAACAAACAAACAAAAACAAAGCATAAATACAGGACAGAAATAGACAGACAGACAGAGAATACAGATTTGTGGTTACCAGGAGGGTGGAGGGTGGGAAGGGATAGACTGGGATTTCAAAACTGTAGAATAGATAAACAAGATTACACTGTATAGCACAGGGAAATATACACAAAATGTTATAACTCACAGAAAAAAAATGTGACAATGAGTGTGTATATGTCCACGAATGACTGAAAAATTGTGCTGAACACTGGAATTTGACACAACATTGTAAAATGATTATAAATCAATAAAAATGTTAAAAAAAAAAAGAAGATGTGGTATATTTATACAATGGAATACTATTCAGCCATAAGAGCCAACAACATAATGCCATTTGCAGCAACATGGATGTTCCTGGAGAATGTCATTCTAAGTGAAGTAAGCCAGAAAGAGAAAGTAATACACCATATGAGATCGCTCATATGCGGAATCTAAATTAAAAAAAACATAAATACAAAACAGAAACAGACTCATAGACATAGAATACAGACTTATGGTTGCAAGGGGGATGGGGGGTGGGAAGGGACAGACTGGGATTTCAAAATGTAGAATAGATAAACAAGATTATACTGTATAGCACAGGGAAATATATATAGGATCTTATGGTTCTCACAGCAAAAGAGAATGTGACAATAAATGTATGTATGTTCACATATAACCTAAAAATTGTGCTCTACACTGGAACTTGACACAACATTGTAAAATGACTATAACTCAAAAAAATGTTTAAAAAAATAAAAGAAAAAACACTTAATTTTTGTCAATAGAATCATCTAACAGTACTTTGTTTTTAAGACCTGCATTTCTCTGATTATCAGTTATGTAAAATATATTTACATTTTCCTATGTTTTGTGGGTATACTTAACTTTGTTTACTTGTCAGTTGGACTATTGCTTTTCCTTACTGATTTCTAGGTACTTTTTATTTGTTGCAGATGGTAATCCTTTCTGCTATATATGTTACAAATAGGTAATATCTACTTCATTTTTAATGGTGTCAACTCAACTCCATTCTCTTCTTTGAGATTCTTGCTGACAGCTGCAGTCCACACTGCTCCCTCTGATGACCCATGACACTGAGCACACATGGCCCAACAGAGATTCATGTCTTTCTATATACCCAGTCATCCCCTTCTGCCTCAAGGCTTAAAGTGGACTTTATTATTCTTTGGACTGGTATTCCTCATATTTTCTCCCCTCTTTTCTCTTTCTCTCCTCTCCAAATACCAACACAAAGGCTCAAAGTAGTTTTAGGGCTACTATATTTCTGATTTGTGATAACACACAGACACACACACTCAAGAAATGTTGCTGCTGTTGATGACAGCATATGCCCCTTTGCACTCCAGCTCTGTAGCAGGGGTCACTCTCCCAGCTCCCTTCCGACTCCCAAATGCTTTACAGGGCTAGACAGAAAGTAACAGAATGGGTAATGCAGCTCCATGGAAGAAAAATGAAAAGCAGTGGCGAACTGTTGTGAACTGGAGAACACAACCACCTAAAAGAAAAATCATTATTCAGCTCCAGAAAATCGTTGTCACGTAGGACTCTAAGCTCCACATTGACAGCCTCACATTGTTCAAAAGCTGAAAATCTGTATTTTATGTTAATGTACTTTTTAAAACATCAAGCTAACATTGTGTTTGCTGGGTTGGGAGTGTGCTGAGTTAAGACTCTGCATTTTCTAATTCAACAGAGTCTGGCATATGAGAGGTACTCAGTGTTTGTTTCCCATTTGCTTTCTTCCTTCCATTAGATTGACTGAAATATCCAGAACAAATGATGAGATAAAGTCATTTATATTATTGTTAGGAATTAGTTGTTCTAGTGTTGTTTTGTTTCTCTTTCAAACCAGACTAAGCAACATGAAGGCAGAGATAATATTTTCATCACATCAGTTTCCAACACGGTGCCTGGCACATGAGAAGGTCTCTGAAAACCCTGATGTTTTTGAACCAGTGACTTAATAAATGAAGAAATGATTAGGTAACAAATTTACCTTTAGATTGTGAATTTACTTTAAAATTAAATGTCGATGTAATCAGCTCAGGGCTAGACACACTGACCCAGGACACAGGGTAGGACAGCATCCCTTAACTCCATTCTTTGTTTTACATGGCAAATACTGGTCAGTATTTAATATTGGTGGCACAAGATGGATGAGGATGTGTGGGATCTCAACATGAAAATATGACAGCTTTTTATGGCAGTCATGTCCAACCCATGGCTGCCTGGCTCTCATCCCCAGGCCCAAGACTATCCCCAAGTCTTACACTTCTTGGCCCACACTTCCACTGTTTAGGATTTCTTCCTCCCATGATCTCTCTGGGTGCTAGTTTCTGCAGGGCCATCCTCTGGGGATAGGTGGTTTGGGATTTCAGCTGTGGGCACTGCTTTGCTCTTTCCTCCTCTGCAGCTCCTCCCGTCGCCTTGCCTGCTGTTCACTCATGCAATCCCTGAAGGCCTGCACCTGTGGCTGGCACTGTCGCCAGTCCTGATGCTGGGCCATGCACTCCTGCACTGCATAGTGAGAAGCAGCACAGCCAGAGCGGGAGATCAGCTGATCCAGTGGGTCTTCTTCCTCATCCTCCTTCTTCATCTGTCGGGACCAGGTATGGCCTTGCGCTGACATCTTTGGGAGTCTCTAGAACATCAATGGAGGGAAGGTTAGATTTGGGACATGATTATGTATGATGCTGTTCCTCTGTTGTAAGTAACACTGACCACTGCATTGTTATAGCCTATTTATACATATGTCTCCTCTTGGAGACTGTAAGCTATTTGAGGAGAGATACTGGGTCTGATTTACCTTGGCACTCCCTGGCAGAGAGCAGGCACTGCAAAATGGTTTGAACTGAACAGAATGAGATAAAGTACATGAGAATGCTTAGCACAGCACTAATAAGCTCGAATGGATTCTAATAATAGAATTGAATTAGCTATCTTCTTCCGTCCAATTGGCTTTATTCTACGGCTGGATTAGAACAAAATTTAACACTTGAGAGAATACCCAAGTATGGGTAGGGTTTGACATATGGAAGGAATGGAGAGAGCTGTGTGGCTGTAACATTGGAGCATACAGGGTCCAGGGCAAGAAATGAGTCTGTGAGGTGAGTGAGTGTACTTAATATAAGGTGTATTCGCCCAGACTGTCTTCCCACAATAATCTGCTTCAGAATACCCAGCACAAGGTAGCATACAGAAAGGTTTGAAGAGAAATGACCTCAGCTTTTGTACAAATTTCACCATGACAGGATGTAAATGAGCTAGGACTCCTTAATGCCTTTCCTGAGTCTCTGATTCATTCAAGAAATGATCACTGAGGAGCTATCACATACCCCACATTATGCTAAAGTTAAGGATACAGGAGTGAGCAAGACAGACACAGTGCCTGCGTTCATAGAGTTTACAATCTAGACAAGTAAATAGGCTATTTACTTGTGTACAGTATGTACAGACAGCTAAGACTGGTAACACAGTAGGGGAATACCTAATCCAGACAAGGGCAGGAATAGGCAGGGAAGGCTTCCTGGAGAAAGTGATTTCTAAACTGAGACTTGAAGGATGAATGAATAAGAGTTAGCCAAAGATACAAAGAATATTCCTGGTCAATGGATGAGCATGGTGAGGGTCTGAGACAGAATGTGACAGAAGAGGAATTGCAAGTTCTACATGACTGGAGAATAGAGTATGAGAATGGGAAAATTAATGAAATTGGTTAAATGATAAAGTATCTGATCATAGCAACGCCTTGGTAATCAAGTTAAGGCGTCCAGAAGGCAATGCCGAAGTCAGGAGAAGGATTTAAGGACTCTGTAGTCCTATACAAAACTCTCTCCTTTGGAGGCAGTATAACCTAAGAGAGGAGGGGGAAAATGGGCTTTGAAAACAGACTTGAATTGGAAACTTAGCTTTGTCACCGACTCTTTGAGTGACTTTGGGTAAACCACTTCAAAATCTCTCTTGAAAAACAGATAATATCTACCTCACAAGACTGCTGACGACTAAATGAGATAACGTACGTTAAGAAGCCTGGCACGTCCAAAGAGTTCAATGAATGATAGCTCCCGTACGTGTTTCCCCTTCCTAAATACAGTCAGCTCTTTTAAGGCAAGGGACAAACCCCTTAGAACAAGTACGGTGGGAAAAACAGTGCCTTGGATCCTAAGCCAAGAAATCTGGGTTCGAATACCAGCACCTCGCCTTACTATGAACATGCCTTAGCGTGCAATCTTTTTTAAGGTAATATTTAACTCGCAGAGTTCCTGTAAGGATTAATATAATAATGAATGACACGTGCATGGGCTACAACAGAAATAAAGTAAATGCTACTGTACTTTTTCCCACCACTACCCAGCTTCAGCCTCCCCTGGAGTAAAAAGAGACCCTTGCACAGAGATCAGGGCAAGCCAGATGGTCGGCAGCTGGTTGTGGAGGCTGGTCTGGACTAAGAAGTCATGGAAAGGATGGGAAAGCAGAGAAATCCAGGTGGCCAAGTCACCCAACGCTCCTCTCCCACCTTCAGGAGAGGACGCGTGCACGCGCGCCCCCACGCGGCCACCGGGCACACCCCCGTTGTGTCTGCTGCGCTTCACCGCGCAAGGACACGGCACACTGTGCTCACCGATCAGGCTGACAACACTCGAAGGACGCGCGCTCCTGCACAGCGGCGTCGGTTTTACAGGCAGCTGGAACTCTTCCGACCCTTCTGTCAGGAACCAGCCTCCTGTGGGGAGCGCGCGCGCGCAAATGGATGGGGTGGAGAAGAGGTGCTATCGCGCATTTTCATTGGTGGCCTGTCGGTATAGATCCCGCCCTTTGTTCTCGACGCAGCTCCTTCGGAGGACCCACTTCCGGGAAAGAGCGGAAGAGGCGGTCTGGTGGAGGCGGGGTCAAATGGCGGCGCCTTTGAGGATTCAGAGCGACTGGGCCCAAGCCCTCAGGTGAATCCAGGTCCAGAACCGGGACGGAGGAGGCGGGTAGCAGATGTTGCCTTTACATTAAGGAGAGCCATGCTCGATCCAGGATATCCATATGGATTACCTCATCAATTGTTGAGGGAACCCTGGGTCTAGAAAAAGAAGTCTCAAACGCCCATAGCCATTGTTTTTCAGCCTCAGAAGAGCTATGCTGAGGGCAAGAAAACACATATGCGTCGTGTGATTCCAGAGGCAGAATAGGATCAGTCAGTTGGAGAAAGACTGGAAAATTGGGAGGCAGGAAGTCTCTTGGCCAAGTAGTCATGGTCATTTAGCAAATAATTGGTCCTCAGCTATTTACAAAAGTCCCGGTACTTGCCACCACCGCATTGTCATTGTGCGATGGAATCTTTGTATCTTCCTCGGCCCCTAGTGGTGTATTAGTCATATTGTACAATTCTGTTAAGGAAACAGCGTAACGCCTACCATGTCGAGATTGACCTAGATAGATACTCCGTGGAGTTCAGATGTGCACTTTAAATTTAAGGGGTGGTTCCTGCCCTCAAGAAATTAACAGCTTAATTAGGGATGCACTACAAACCATTCACTCATTTAACATATATTTATTGATCATATACTGTGCAACGTATGCTGGGCACCAGAATGAGTACAGCAGTGCTGTGAATGGCAACTATTATTACTCATAAGTTTTTCACATTAAAACAGTGGTGAAGATGAATAAAGCATAGTCTCCTGCATTTAAGAAACTTGCACTTTACTAAGTGGGCTAAAATAAAATACACATTACTTACTACAACACAGAATGTGTAATAGGAAGAACACTGACATTTATTAAGGGCTACCAAGGGCTTCTGAGAGAACACAAGTCCAGAATCAGGAAATAACTTGCCCAAGATTGTGCAGCCAATAAGTTATTTCATCAAATATATGGTGGAATATTTGAGATTCATTTAACCGACAGATCTATGCATTAAACACTTAATCCACAAAATTTTCTTCAATAAATAAAATTTGTCTATGCCTGGATGAGATTTTAGACTAGATCATTTCTAAGTGCTAGTGGCCAAATTAGGATCCTTTTTGACATTGAGTGAGCCTAATTAGGTTTTTGTCTCTTCATAGGAAGGATGAAGGGGAGGCCTGGCTGAGCTGTCACCCCCCAGGTAATGTCCTTAAATCTATATGCTTTCCCTTTAGAAAAAGAGAATTTACTACTAAAAGAGAGCTTCCTGCTTTCTCCTGGCCCAGACTGCTTGTACAATGCTCATAGCCTTCAAATGTTCTTAACTAGTCTGTGCTGTTCTGACATCACTCCAACTTCTCCATTCTAGGGGAAAGTCTTCAGATTAGTTTTCCATTGGAAGCCACAAACTTATCTGTGGAGAATTGCTGGTGCATCTTTATCAGTCTCTTAGCCATTTATTATTGTATCCTAAGCAGTTCTGTAGCTTCAGTTGTGATTGTCCTGCAGTTCTAGATCTGCAGTTCTAGTTTTGACCTCTCTTCAATTTCAAGCAGAGATTAAATAGCTGTCTGCTAAATGTTTCTGCTTAAAGTTCTCACTGTCATCTTGAGTTTATCAAATCCAAAACCTGAAGCCGAGCACTTCTGTTGTCAAATGGGTTCTCTTTCTTGATTTTCTCATTTCTTAAGTTACCACCGTTCTAGGTATCAGAGTAAAAAGCCTAGTCACTTCACCCTGCCATATATTGTTAGTTCTCAAGTCTTATAAATGTTTCCTTTGGATGACATTCCTGTGTTACTCCAATTCATTCGTTTGCAGTTAATGTGGTAACATGTGGTAACTTCTAAATTTGTGAGAAAATTTTGTTTTAGTGGTTTTTTTTTGGAGATACTTTATGTTTTTATATAATAATATATTCTATTTCTATGAGAAATAGAGTTTTAAATAGAGTTTTCTTTTGAGGAAATTGGTGCTGCACAGGAGAAGGGTGGTAGCTAGAAGGTCTCAAAAATCAAAGGTTTTTAAACTTACAGTTACCAAGGGGGAAAGGAGGTGTGAAGGGATAAATTGGGAGTTGGAGATTTGCAGATACTAACTACTATATATAAAATAGATAAACAAGTTTCTACGGTATAGCACAGGGAACTATAGTCAATATCTTGTAATAACTTATAATGAAAAAATATGAAAAAGAATTTATGTATGTATATGTATGACTGAAACATTGTGCTATACACCAGAAATTGACACAACATTGTAAACTGACTATACTTCAACTAAAAAATAAAGTTAAAAGAATCAGGGGTTTTTATTTTATTTTTAAACATGGGTACTAATGGAAAGCAATTAAGATATAAGATATAGGTAAAGGAAAAAAGAACTAACTGAAAAATCAGTGCCTTGGAAGAGAGACTTAAGTCTGAAAGGCTAAGATGAAAGAAGATGAGCTTAAGTGTAGATGTAGATATGGAAATTTGAGACTATCTTATAGCCTCAATTTTCTTCATGATGTTGGAAGTAGGGTCAGCTCTTAAGGAAGAGAGGTTTTTTTTTCCCTGAAATAATAGTTTTATTAAAATAAAATGTGTGCTAATGTGCTAGATGCTTTACATACATTATTTCTGTTTCTCACAACTGTATCAGTTTACCTACCTGTTAGGATTCTAATTTTTTTTAGATAATAACTTTACTGAGATATAATCCCATACCATAAGGTTCACCTTTTTAAAGTGTACAATTCAGTGGATTTTAGTATATTCACAGAGTTGTGTGTCTATCACTACTACCTAATTCCAAACATTTTAAAAGAAACCCTGTACTCTTTAGCAGTCACTCCCCATTCCACCCTCCTCCCAGCCCCTAGCAGTCACTAACTGACTTTCTGCCTCTATAGATTTGTCTCTTCTGGATGTTTCACATAAATGGAATTGTAATATGTGGCCTTTTGTGTCTTTGATTCAGCGTAATTTCAAGGTTTATCCATTTTGTAGCATTCATTTATTTTTGTGGCCAAGTAATATTCTATTGTAAGGATAGACCCCATTTTTTGCTCTTTCATCAGTAGATGGACATTTAAATTGTGAAGGTAAAGCCGGCTGGGCTAACAAGATGACTCACAAGTCTAAGAATGTGAAGGAAAAGCTGGGCTGGTCTAACAAGATAACTCACAAATCTAAGTATCAGAATACTGATCTGAGTTCTGCTGGACTAACTGGTAAATCTAAGTTAATTAGTGTTGGTTTGCTGTTCATGTTGTTTTGCTAGCCAGCTGGATTTTCAAAGAGATATATCTGGCTTTGGAATGTTGGTTTGCTGCCTCCCTGCCTCCACTTTTGTGATAATGATGCTGCTAAAGCTGTTCCATGCCTATTGGCCGAATACCCCAAGCTTGTACTTTACTCTGTAAAACCTCATGCGCACGTCTTGGAGGTGCTCAGAGCTTCGGAGCAGAAGCTCCTCTGAGCCCACCGGCGTAATACATCTGAGTACTCCAACCTTCCGAGTGGTGCTTGTTTCTTGGCTGGTCTGTCGTTTCCGTAACAAAATCATTTCCACTTTTTGGCTGTTATGAAAGAAGAAGTTTTGATGGCAGGATAGGTGTCATGAGAACTGGCTGCTCTGGGGGATAAAAGGGGCAAAAGGACTGCAAAGCTGCAGAGTTTGAAGCTCTGTAGGAAATTGTAATGGTGCCAGTCTGCACAGTTGTGTCATTTTCTGTAGTAGCACTCAGCAGCCTATGCTTAGAAATGTAGAACATGACTGACTGGATTAATTCTGCTTTTGTTACATAGACAAAAAACCAAGATTGAGGTCATTTCAGTGACTTTACAATTGTAGAATGCTAATAGGAGATTGGCTGAAATGATGTACCATAAAGGCCAGACTTCACAGGATGGTTAGGGAAGCCAGGAGAGAATCATGGAGTGGGACAAAAAGCAGAGTTCCCTCAGTCCTGTTTTTGTGGCATCTTTCTGAACTAGCATTTCATGCCACTTCCCTGCTGAAGCTTCTTCACTGTATCTTCTCTAGTCCAAACTTCTACCCTCGATTGTGAGTTGCTTAATTAATATCTTTCAACTACCTTTTCCATGAGTGTTGTCACTGAACTAGTATATTAATTGATGCCTCCTTCCCTCTTGTTCTTTGTGTCTTTTATTCTTGATACGCCCCCTCCCTGACTTGCAGTTTCCTTTCTCTTCTGCCTAGCTTTCTTTCAAGGTCCTACTGAAGTCCTACCCTCTCTAAGAAGGTCTCTCACTCTGTGACTCCATGATGGTTTTTACTTCCCTCTTACTCTTAGAATCTCTGTTTGGTGCAGCAGGTATTTACTGAATAATTTGTAGCACCTTGCTAGTTTGTGAACTCAAGGACTTCACAGTCTCATAGGGAAGCTGGAAATGTAAACAACATGTTATGGGCTGTTACAAAGTGTATATAGGAGGCTCAGAAGAAGAAAAGAACATTTTTAACTCCATTCTGCCATCTGCATATGATTATGTGTAGGATAATATTTTATTTCGTCCATATCACTTCAAAAGCAATGTCCTACTTAAGCAAATTTTCCAGATTACTGAAGTTTAATTCTTAACTGTATATTATGTGTATATACTGTGGATAAATGCATATATTCATGTTGGTCTTCACCTTTCATCCTGGAAGAATTTTATTTCACAGCCAGTAAATGAGGTTGAGATCACTCTAGTAGCTTTCTCTACAAATACTATATTATATCTCAAAATCTTTGTTCATAACTTTTAGCCCTTGAGTGTATTCCCTCCAAATTAGATTCACTTCATCTCACTTTTAACACAAGTACTTGATTCTCTGTCATGAGCCAGTTTCCTCTCATCTATACAGGTGCCTGAATTGGGTCTTCAAGAAGAAAAATGTTAAATTCTCTTTTTTTGATAAATGCTTCTTTTGTGCTATATAGGTAAACCAACTTTGTATGGCAGCCTAACTTGTCAAGGAATTGGCCTTGATGGCATCCCAGAGGTTACAGCTTCAGAAGGATTTATTGTGAATGAAATAAACAAGGTGAGTTTTTATGTCTTCTAGATGGCACCGTGTGCAAAACTATAGTAGTACTTAAATATCTGCTTTAAATATTTATATTTTTATCTACATATCAGTGTCAGCTCCACTTCATTTGTACAATAATCATAGTTTTTTTTTTTACTGCCTTTGAATGTCAAAAGTTTTCTTTTTCTTTGGTACTTAACATTTGTTTTTAGATGCAAACTTTCTCTTACTTCCCTTATACCAGTGCTGTCCAATAGATAAATAATGTGAGCCCTGTATGTAATTTTAAATTTTCTAGTAGTCACATTAAAAAGGTAAAAAGAACCAGGGGGGTAGAGGGTGGGAAGGGATAGACTGGGATTTCAAAACTGTAGAATAGATAAACAAGATTACACTGTATAGTACAGGGAAATATACACAAAATGTTATGATAAATCACGGAGAAAAAAATGTGACAATGAGTGTGTATATGTCCATGAATGACTGAAAAATTGTGCTGAACACTGGAATTTGACACAACATTGTAAAATGATTATAAATCAATAAAAAATGTTAAAAAAAGTAAAAAGAAACAGGTGAAATTAATTTTAATAATGTATTTTATTTAACCCAATATATCTAAAATATTATTTCAACCTGGAATTAATATGAAAAATTATTAGAGATGGTTTACATTCCTTTTTTTCTTAGTAAGTCTTTGAGATTCTTTGTATATTTTACCCTTAGAACACATCTCAATTCAGACTCTGATTTTTTATTGGGAATACTTGATATGTATTTAGGTTTTTAAAAATTTACAGTTAAAAACATAGATCCACATACCTAAGTAGTTCCAAACATACTTAAAAGTTTTCTGATAACTGAATGAAGTATCAGTTTTAAAATTAAACTTTAAATAAAATTAAAAATTCAGATCCTCATTTGCTTTGGTCACATTTCAAGCTTTATGTGGCTAGTATCTACCATGTTGTACAGCATAGCATTATAATGTGTCTGGCAACACCTTGGTGGAGACCTACATTCGTAGTACTTAATAGTTTTTTTCATTGGTCTTTGAGGTGAGTAGATGGCCAAACTAAGTGTTGTGAAGCCCTCGAACTGACTTTCCTTCCACATTCTGATGACTGCAGTCTGTATGCTATGGCAGTTCCCAAAGGATGAACCAGCTTTTTTGTTTTCTTTTTGTGTGTAGTTAAACTTTTTTGGTTATAAGATATTTCAGGTATACTGAAAAGAATAGAGAATACCTTATGTTTCACATAAGATTTTTAGCAAACGTTTATTCATTATATTCTATACAAAGTAATAGTTGACATGTTATTATATATTTTATATTTATTTTTCATAAACAGTACTGTGTAAAGTGTCAGAAGATCTGAGTCCAAGTCTTTGTTACTCTGACACTTACTAGCAAGATGATTTTGGATAGATAACTTAGTAGTTCCCTGAGCCTCAGTTTCCTCATCTGTAAAACAGAGATAATATTATACCTTACAGGCTGATTAGTGGAGACTGAGAATGCATATGAAAGAAGCTGTAACATATTTCAAAAGTAAATTGCTGTTTATCATAACAATCCTGTGGGATTGCCATTTTAGATTTCCATTTTGCAGATAAGCAAACACACTCAGAGAGGTTAATTAACCTCTGATGATTGAAGCTGATTAGACAGTATGTCAGAATTGAAACCCAGTTCTGTTGATTTCAAGTATAACACCACCTTGCAAGCCTACATTTTTCCAGGTGTTTCGCCAGTATCCATCCACAGCCTTGGTGCTGACTTCCTTTCTTCCCTTTGTACTCAGGCCCTGATACAATTTTTATCTCCTCCAACATCATTGCTAATTTCTGCTGTGTACCTGCTGGGTCAGACAGTAAGTGCTTATGGTTGAACATTCATTTGTTATCCTAACTGCCATGAGTCACTTTGCTATTTTATGTTGCTACATTGTTCTGTTCAATAGATCTGTCATTATGCTTAAAAACCTAACCCCGAAAGATAGGAAGTTTCACTTTGAATTTTTTCTTGGTGTGGAATACTCACACTTGCCCTTCCACACTGAATTTTGTCTGTTATATCTCCTGCTGCAACTTTTCTTTAAAATATTTTCATTAACAGCATGATTCTCTACTGCTGACATTGGAAGGTAATTCAGCATTTATCTTCCTTCATAGTCTGTTTATGATATAAAGGTAGGTTTGCAGGATTAATAAGTAGGAGACCACTGATTCTTGAAATCTTTTACATAGTTAGCACCAAAGAAATGAGGTCTTCTTGAGAGCAAATTCATTTCTTATAGTGTCCCAAACACTAAGCTTTCAGAGCTCCTCACATCCTTGCTTGGTATGAATATTCAGTCAGAGAGTTTAGCTGATGCTTTAGTTTGGGGTACAGGAGACAATTCTAAATCCAGGTCAGCTCTCTTGCAGCTGTATGGGCTTTGTCATGCGGTTAGAAGCAAAAACTCATTTAATGAAAGGCCTGCAGGCAGCCAGGCATAAATACACTGGCTAAGAAAGTACAGTTTGTATAAATAATCTAATTGTTTTTTTAAAGAAGTATAAAACCTGTAATAAGAGCATACTGATTTTTAGTAATGAGAATATTATAACTTTGAAACTGTTCTTTCTAATGAACTCTGAGGACTGTGCTTATACATAGTTTAGCCTTATAAAGTTCAGAAAATCTTGATTATTGAAGATATTTTCATAGTCCAGCAGAATTTCCAGAAACTTTCAAGTACTATTGCAGAAGAGAAAACAGGTTAGGGACCATTTGGTGAGAGCAACTCCTCAGCTCTGTATAGGAGATACACACTCAGGGGATGGTGTCGGTATTCTGATTAGAGTAAGGGATTGTCATATTGCAAGAATCCTTGAGGAGGTGTTTACTAAGCCTTTTATATTTCTACACATGCTGCCTTGAAACACCAACATATTTACCTTAAATGGTTACAGAGTCTGCCTTTAGCAAATCATGTCACTTGAATCTGTTATTTATTTATTTATTTATTTATTTATTTATTTATTTAGGTGTTCATTATTATGTTGCTTGAATCTGACATCTGGTTCTAGGTATAATTTAACACTATGTTACCAGTGTTATCTTCCTACATACAGTAGCTGAAAGAAATGTAATCATGACTAGGCAAAACACATGGGGAATCATAAGAAAGCTATATTATGATGACCAGTCTTAAAGTCCTAGGTGAGAATGAGCACCCCAAGCCTGGCCAAGCTTGTATGACTGTACCATAATTTACTTTACCTACTCTCTCACTCTGGTAACTATACATGTCAGTAGTCTAACATTTTTTCTGAAAGTTCTTATAGGCAGCAAGTTTATTTTTAGACTAGTCTTTTAGGCCCTAGCCTGGGGACTGGTGCTGTTTCCTCAGATCTGTAGATCCTTTTCCTTGCCTCACTGCTAATTGAGAATACTGATAATAGATTTTCTTCTGAAAATTAATGTTCTTATGTTTGTCAGTTGTATCTTATTGTTGGTTTGTCTTCTATGGGACAGTATACTTAAACATAAAAACGTAATGGCTCAGCGATACCAAATTACATTGCAGCTCTCTGCAGTAAAAGGACTGCTGATCTATAGGGGAGTGATAGTTTTGTGCATTGGGGAAGGAGGATTAGAGAGGGTACACTTAAAAGGTAAGTGTTTCTCTCATCCTAATGTTTTCTTTAAGAAGTTTTAATTCCATTGGAGTAGATTTACTGATGGATTTCATCTTTCCCTCTCCTTTTAGAAAAGCATTCATATTTCATGTCCAAAGGAAACTGCATCTTCGAAGTTTTTGGCACCATATACTACTTTTTCCAGAATTCATACAAAGAGTGTAAGTATTTTAATAAAATGAGGGGAAAATGTAATAGCATATTTGGTTTTTCATTTTATCTGCTTGTCTAGTGCTATAAACATATTAATGTGTTTTTCATTACTTTGCTTTATAAGATAACACAGCTGATGAAATGTATGTATGGCAAAACTGATACTTGGGTCCACTTAGGATAATAGGATAAGTGTACAAATCCACTCACTGGTAATCTTAAAGAAAGGAATTTTGTGAAATGTACTTACATATGTTTTAGCAGAGCTAGTTACTGGCTTTTGGATGATGATGATAGTAGTTGATGTTTGCATAATTTGCTACTGCTCATATTTCTGTCCGTTTGCCTGCAGAACAGGGGCATTTTCTCAAAATTCCAAGTACAGCGTACTGAGGAATGATTTTCAGAGGTCTTTGTGATAAAGTTCTTTCTACTACCATAGGCTTTTTGGAAGCAGAAGTGAGAAATAGGTGAATAAACTGATTATATTAAATCCTTCTGCTTCTTATTGTGTGATATATTTTCAAAAGGAGCTGTTTTTTGCACTTATTGGAAAATAAATATACATTTAGTGATGGAAATTTAGGAAATATAAAAGAAAACGAAAATTACTCATATTTCCATAATTAAAGATAAATAACTGTTGTGAGCTTTTATAATATAACATTTATTAATAATAATCATAGTAATTTTGCCATTTACAACAACATGGATGGACTTGGAAGGTATTAAGCTAAGTGAAATAAGTCAGAGAAAGGCAAATACTGTATGGTATCACTTATACGTGGAATGTGAAAAATAAAACGAACTAGTGAATATAACAAAAAGGAAACAGATTCACAGATATAGAGAATAAACTAATGGTTACCAGTGAGGAGAGGGAAGAGGAGTTGGGAAACATTGGGCTAGGAAATTAAGAGTTACAAACTATTATGTTTAAATAAATAAGCAACAAAGATATATTATAAAACCCAGGGAATATAGCTAATATTTTATAACTATAAATGAAGTATAATCTTTAAAAATTGTGAACTGCTGTGTTGTACACCTGTAACTTAGATTGTACATTAACTACATCTCAATTTTGAAAAATCATAGTAGTAATAGCTAATATTTATTGATTGCCTGCTATGTGCCAGCACCATGCAAAGCTTTACATATCATTATTTCACTTGACCCTCTCAATCTTTTTTTAAAAATATTTTCCCGTAATAGGTTTTTATACTACATGTTCTTTTATAACTTAGTTTTTATTCGTTAATAATACATTAGGTACATTACTCTATGTTCACTTTATGTGTATTATTTTAAGAGTTGCATAGTATTCCACTGTATGGCTTTACTATAATTTATTTTTCTAATCTTACATTACTAGACATTAATTTTCTCCAACTTAATGACTTCATATTTTGGTGATATACTTATAGCTAATCCTTTACTCCCAAAAATAAGAAGAAATTAGAATACATGTGTAAAAGTGGAGTTGCTGAGTCACAGGAAATGTAAATTATAAGGCTTTTGATATGTTCTGACTTCTACTTAACTAATTTATTGAGTCAACTGTTGCTCTGCATTTCCTCTGTAAACCATTCTGACCCATGCTCGCAGCACATTTACAGCTGGTAAGCATTCTGAGGTCTGCATACTGACGCTGCCATTTAAGTTGACTGCTTACCAAGGATCAGTTATAATGTCAGCTATATTATTTTTGAAATTATGTTAATTAATTCAGTATGTTAAACCAATGAAATATGAGTGTGAAAAGACAGTGACTATGTCTTTGAAAACTAAGTTGACTGCTTTATAGAGACTTGATAAAAAAGAGTTTTTAAAAAATCTTCTATTTTAGTATGGTGTGGACAAGAGAAATATAAAATATTAGGGGAAAGATTAAAACAAAAAAACCCTGGATGAATCTTTGCTCTTAGATTGTTTTTTAAGTGTGATTAGAGATTTACCTTGCTTTAGAGGAACTGGAAGTTATATACCTTTTAGTTATAGTATATTACAAGAAAACCAAGGTAATGCTTCCTTTATAGTGATCAGTGGGCTAATGAAAAGATTAGTGAATTTTACTGTACATTTATATATTTGAGTTAAAATAAAATGTAGATATTTATGTATCATTCTCTATTATTTCTGACTTTACCTGAATTTTTTTGTGATTGACCTACTACTGGGCCCTAACCATTGTTTAAAAAAGGCTTTTACTGTATTGCTTTTCTACCAGTCTTACTTGACATTCTCTGCCAATACTGGGTAGTAGAATTTTTTTTAAGTTTTACCGTTTTGAGGAATGGTATTTCATTGTTATTAGCATTTTTAAAAATCTCAAATGAGACCATACAAAGCAGTTTTAAAGTGTATACAACAATCATTCACTCCTTCAGTTTTGCTACTTTATACAACTGTGTGATTGATGGAAAACTGAATGGCATGTGCCTAGCTGGAAAATTTCACCTGCTTACAAAAAAAAAAAAAAAAAAGGAAAGAAAAAGAAAGGAAGAAAACCCAACAACAAATATGCAGGATAGTTGCTACTTTATGTCTGCAAGTCAATTTACAAACTTTTTTTAACATTTTTTTTATTGAGTTATAGTCATTTTACAATGTTGTGTCAAGTTCCAGTGTAGAGCACAATTTTTCAGTTATGCATGAACATACATATATTCATTGTCACATTTTTTTTCCACTGTGAGCTACCACAAGATTTTGTATATATTTCCCTGTGCTATACAGTATAATCTTGTTTATCTATTCTACATATGCCTGTCAGTGTCTACAAATTTTGAAATCCCATTCTGCCCCTTCCCATCCCCAACCCCCTTGGCAACCACAAGTTTGTATTCTATGTCTATGAGTCTGTTTCTGTTTTGTATTTATGTTTTTTATTTAGATTCCTCATATGAGCAATCTCATATGGTGTTTTTCTTTCTCTTTCTGGCTTACTTCACTTAGAATGACATTCTCCAGGAACATCCATGTTGCTGCAAATGGCATTATGTTGTCAGCTTTTATGGCTGAATAGTATTCCATTGTATAAATATACCACATCTTCTTTATCCGGTCATCTGTTGATGGACATTTAGGCTGTTTCCATGTCTTGGCTATTGTAAATAGTGCTGCTATGAACATTGGGGTGCAGGTGTGTTTTTGAAATAGGGTTCCTTCTGGATATATGCTCAGGAGCGGGATTCCTAGGTCATATGGTACGTCTATTCCTAGTCTTTTGAGGAATCTCTGTACTGTTTTCCGCAGTGGCTGCACCAAACTGCATTCCCACCAGCAGTGTTGAAGGGTTCCCTTTTCTCCACAGCTTCTCCAGCATTTGTCATTTGTGGACTTTTGAATGATGGCCATTCTGGCTGGTGTGAGGTGGTACCTCATTGTAGTTTTGATTTGCATTTCTCTGATAATTAGTGATATTGAGCATTTTTTCATGTGCCTATTGATCATTTGTATTTCTTCCTTGGAGAATTGCTTGTTTAGGTCCTCTGCTCGTTTTTGGATTGGGTTGTTTGTTTTTTCCTTATTAAGTCATATGAGCTGCTTATATATTCTGGAGATAAAGCCTTTGTTGGTTTCATCGTTTGCAAAAATTTTCTCCCATTCCATAGGTTGTCGTTTGTTTTACTTATGGTTTCCTTTGCTGTGCAGAAGCTTGTAAGTTTAATTAGGTCCCATTTGTTTATTCTTGCTTTTATTTCTATTGCTTGGGTAGACTGCCCTAGGAGAACATTTTTGAGATGTATGTGAGATAATATTTTGCCTATATTTTCTTCTAGGAGGTTTATTGTATCTTGTTTTATGTTTAAGTCTTTGATCCATTTTGAGTTTATTTTTGTGTGTGGTGTAAGGGAGTCAAACTTTTTTTTTTTTTAATTTAGGAGGCACACAGGAGTGAAAATTTTAGCTGCCCAATTTTATCCAACTACCCCACAGAGAGCACAAATAACAGTCCCAACATTCTGTATGTTTCATTGTTATTTTAATTTGCATTCCCTTAATTATGAATTGACCACTTTTTCATATATTTATTGGCCACTCTTTATGTCATTTGCCCATTTTTCTAAGTGTGAATTTTTTTCTTTGTTGGTAAGAGCGCTTCTTATATAAAAGGTATCGATCCTTTGACGTGTATTTTACAGGTAGTTTTTTTCTAGCTTATTGTTTATGGCTTTTTGTTTATGGTGTCTTTGACATGCAAGATATTTAATATTTCTAGATAATAAGACTTATCAATTTATACCTGTCAGCTTATGGTGACTGCCTTTGGGATCCTGCTTGGGGCAGACCATAATTTTATGTATATTTACTTTTAGTTACTCAGCATAATGTAGAAGAGCAGGGACTCTAGAGACACGCTCATTGAATTTGACTTCATGGATTCTAATTTTGGTTCTGCCACTTACTGTGTGACATTTGGGCAGATACTTACCCTTCCTGTACTAAAAGTTCCTTGTCCATAAAATAAGAGTAAAAATAATATTTATCTCATACGGTTGTTAGGAGGATTGAAGCAATTAGAACTGGGCATAGAACATGGCAAGCACAATATAAGTGTCAAATAAAATTATAAATAAAGTAGTTTCTTTGAATTTTTATGTTTTACTTTTTACATTTCAAGCTTTATTTTTGTTATTTGGCTTGAAGAGGGGTCTAACTTAATTCTTTTTGAAATGATTAGTGTGTCATACCTATAGCACTACAAAGTAATTCATCCTTTATCTCATAGACTTGAATTGTCATCTTTATCCAATATTTAGGATTGACCTATAGATCTGCCTTGTTTGGTGTGACTAAGGAATAGATCTTTATCTTTAGACTCTGTCCTGGATTTGTATCCTGGCTGTGCTATGTCACCTTGGGGAAATTACTTAACCACCTCCGAAGCCTCAGATTTCTCATTTGAAAAATACAACAAATACTTAAAGATTTTTGAGTGGATTGTGTGAGAGTAGTGTCTGTTACTTGTTTGGCACATAATAGCTATTCAATAAATATTAGTTCTCTTTTCTCTTTTTCTTTAAATAAAAATTTGGAGGAAAGAGACAGCTAGTATGATCTGTAAACTACTTTTCAGTGTTCTATCACTTTGGAAAAAATGAATAGTTCAGACTTAATTACTTTTTAGGTCTAGGAACTAGGGCCCCAAAGATATGTAACACAGATAAATAACACAATATCCCTGTCCCCTCCAGGAAGAGTTTATTAACTGAGAGGATACGAAACAGTATATCAGAGTTTCTCAGCCTTGGCACTATTGATCTTTTAAGATGGATAATTCTTTTTCTGTAGGAGGCTGTTCTGTGCACTGTAGGATGTTTAGCAGCATTCCTGGCCTCTACCTTCGAGTTGTCAATGGATGCCGCCCCCACTTGTGACAACTAAAAATGTTTACAAACATTGCCAAATGTCCCCTAGGAACAAATTGCTTCTGGTTGACAACCACTACAATATATAAACAGAGCTGAAGACCACTGAGGGAGGAAGTGATGAACTCCTTGGGGGATTTGGGAAAACAAACCATTTATCTTTTGAAGAGTAGGTCATTTTCTAAAAGTTCCTTTATTCTATTTCTCATTCTCCCTGTCTCTTATTTGAGCCATTATTAGGTGATTCACCCACTTATTAATCACCTAGTATATTACAGATACTATTCTGGTACTGGGGCTATGGATTGAACTGTGTTGTAGAGCCTACATTCTAGGGATGTGGGACCAGAATAGAGTTGAAATTGACAGTACCCGTAGTCAGACTCAAGGACCAGGATTAGGGCAGTAGCAGTGGTCTTGAAGAAGAAAGATAGGTCTGAGAGATGTCTACTACACTAGAATGTGAATGCAGTACCTACCAGTGAGAAGCTAGGAGCAGAAAGGGATTACTATGAGGATTAAATGATTCAGTATTTGAAAATGATAAAACATGATATAAATGTTAATTGTTGTCATAATTCTTAAAATTAAAGGAACTACAGTTAATAGTCTTTTTATTGAGGAACCAAAATAAAGAAGAAAAAGTCTTAGAAAGTGTTACAGTTGACCTATATATCCCTTTAGTTCTTTCCAAACCTATTCATTATGGCTTAATTGGCATAGAAATGTAAAGTGGAAGGTTAAATAATTAAGGCCAGAATTCCTACTTTTTCCTTAATAATTTAGGTCAAATGAGAATCATGGTTGTTGAGAATATGACTAGGATTTATATACCTCAGTCCTACATTTCTGGAATATTTGCAACTGGGTGTTTTTTTAATCAAAAGGGGGTATTACATATGCATGTATATGAAAGAGACTTGGCATTCTGATAATAGCTTATTCATGAAGTGATTCCTAATATTCAAATTGTGTAAGTGAATCTTAGAATTCTCTATTACTTATTCTAAAATACACACACACACACACACACACACAATTAAGGTTTTATAGAGGGAATGTGAAGTAGTAAATTGGAAGCACCTTTGCTTTTCATTGAATCCTTCTGGTGCATCTTGGAAGTCTTTCTTTTATGGAAGTGAATTCCCAAGAATTAGGAGAATTATCTTAATTTTAAAATAAAATAACAAAAGATGGAAACTATGGAAATGATATGGGAATAGGGAACTTTTTAGCTGAAGCAAGAGATTATAGGTAACTGCAAGAATATCTTTCTGCTTCAAGAAATAAAGGGTTTTGGCTCTAGCCTTGTTGGGAGATTGGTGATGATAACTCAGCCTTTACATGAAACACATGTGCTTTGTGTTGAGAAGCATAAACCTGAAGAAGTCTCAGAGGAGTGTGAAATGGGAGAGGTTTATAACATATTTCAAGGGAAGAAGAGCATTTCATTGTTTATAACACTGATTGTTTTGTCTTTTGAACAGATAACATGCTTGGACATTTCCAGTGGAGGAGGCCTTGGTGTGTCTTCTAGTACCGATGGGAGCATGAAAATCTGGCAGGCTTCCAACGGAGAGCTCAGAGTAAAGACTTTGGATACACTTTTAGGGCCTTACACATGAAGGGTGGTCTGAGAAACCTTAGACTACGTCATGAAAAAAACAGTGGCCCACTCTGAAAATGTAGGAACACTGCACTTCAATAGATCTTTGTTCTTCCATTTGTTAATCTGAGAACCATGCTCAAGTTTGGTGATTTGCCAGAACAAACTGGGGCTGGAACAGTTGAGGAGCCAGGCCAGTGAATGTCTGAGTGGGTGTTCCCTTGGTATGAACTGCCTTCAGTGATCCATTTCTAAGGCAGAGTATCTCGGCTGTTACACTAACTGTATGGCTGAGTCCCCCAACCTCTATAGAGGATTTTAAGGAGAGGTGAGTAAAAATCCTCAAGCCTCCTCAACTCCTTATATGTAGAGCTAGACTTAGTGATGACTATGAGAGCCATGTAGTTCAAATCCATAACATCTGTAGCCAAAGCCCAGGAAAGGGAGCCAATCAGTAGGTCTTAGTACACTACTGGTAGATAGATGAACTAAAGAGAGTCTCTGGATCTCTTCTTTTAAAACCCAGCATGTAGATTTTTCATTTAAGGGACCAAGGGTATGGGAGGTAAGAGAACATCAAGGGATGGACAAGAGAACTAGCATGGAATTTTCTTTTGTTTTTCCAGAGAGTATTGGAAGGACATGTGTTTGATGTGAATTGTTGCAGGTTTTTCCCATCAGGCCTTGTAGTTCTGAGTGGGGGAATGGATGCCCAGCTGAAGATCTGGTCAGCTGAAGATGCTAGCTGCGTGGTGACCTTCAAAGGTCACAAAGGAGGTATGAAGAGTGATTTTTCCCAAAGGTTTCTCTGATAATCCCCAGAAATTAATCACCAAAAAGACAGAAACAGAAGCTAGTTATCCACAAAAACATAAATAATTTATCCATCTGGCCAATGAACTGCTATTTCTCCAAGGATTAGCAATTCCTTTCCTACTCAGTCTTATTAATGCTATCTAGAACTAACTGCCTTACATAAATAGTAGTTTTTCACAATTGAGAAGGGGAAAAAAAGCCTCCATAGGAGATCATTTACTTGTGTGCTGGGAAAAAAGAGAGGTAGGTGTGCCCAGTTTTTCTCATTAGTCCTTTGGCTGAGGTAATAGTAAAAGCTGGGTGGCAAATGGCTGTATCACCAGACATCAGATAGAGCTTGGTACTGACTTTGTTTTTTTTAAACACCTGTATTGTGTTTTGGTTCCTGTACAGTAAACTACACATATTTCAGATGTACACTTTGATGAATTTTGATAGATGTATACACCAATGAAACCACTACCACAATCAAGATAGCTAACATTTCCATCATTCCCCAAGAGGTGCAATTTTTGAATTCCCAATTTATCCCTTCCTACCCTCTTTAACCCCTGGTAGTCCTAAATTTATTCTCTATGTTGGTGAGTCTGTTTCTGTTTTGTAGATAAGTTTGCTTGTGTCCCTTTTTTTAAGATTTCATATAAGCGATATCATATGGCATTTTTCTCTTTCTGGCTTACTTCACTTAAAATGACGATCTCCAGGTCCATCCGTGTTGCTGCAAATGACTATTGTTTTTCTTTTCTTTTCTTTTCTTTTCTTTAGCTATTTTTTATGGTTGAGTAGTATTCCAGTGTGTGTGTGTGTGTACACACAACACATCTTCTTTATCTAGTCCTCTGGCGATGGACATTTGGGTTGTTTCCATGTCTTCGCTATTGTAAATAGTGCTGCTGTGAACATTGGGGTGCATGTGCCTTTTTGAATTGTATTTTTCTCCAGATATATACCCAGGAATGGGACTGCTAGATCATATGGTAAGTCTATTTTTAGTTTTTTAGGGCTGCACCAATTTACATTCCTACGAAGAGTGAGTTCCTTTTTCTCCACACCCTCTCCAGCATTTATCATTTGAAGACTTTAATGATGGCCATTCTGACTGACTTGTGGTGATATCTCATTGTAGTTTTGATTTGCATTTCTCTAGCAATTAGTAATGTAGAGCATCTTTTCATGTGCTTATTGAACATCTGTGTCTTCTTTGGAGAGATGTCTATTTAGGTCTTCTGCCCA